GATATTTGTCTATCACACTCCACTTTTACCTACCAAATTTGATATTTGCTTGACAAATTCTAAGTTTGTCCACTAAAATTGTCGCACATCTGCATAATTCAATATTGATTTCCAAGATTATTTTGGGCTAAGACCAAATCGATGAACGGACTCAAACCGAATTGACTCAATTTCTGCAACAAGATTGAATCGATTTGAACCTCAATTCACCCAAATTGACTTGGACTATTACGGAATCGAATTAAGCTCAAAATCGTCCCAAAGTAACCATGGCTCGACCTTAATCCCAGCCGTTATCCACCGCAAACGTTTTTAACGTTTGTCGGCCATTTCCCATCACGCTCCTTGTCTCTCTCCAACTTTTTCTAAATTTTTCCATACTCTCATCCTCAATTTCAATAATACGCAATCTTTGATCTGATCACGTTCATTGAATCTCTTGAGATTCGTTTCAAAGCCTATCAATGGCTGCTTCGCGTCGGCTACGGGAGCTCCAATCGCAGCCAGGGAACAAGATCTGCGTGGATTGTTCGCAGAAGAATCCGCAATGGGCCTCCGTCTCTTACGGCGTTTTCATGTGCCTTGAGTGCTCTGGCAAGCACCGCGGCCTTGGCGTTCATATATCCTTTGTTCGATCTGTGACGATGGACTCGTGGTCCGAGATCCAATTGAAGAAAATGGAGCTTAGCGGGAATGAAAGATTTAATCAATTTATTTTGCAATATGGAATCCCTAAAGAAACTGATATTGTTACGAAATATAATACCAATGCTGCATCTGTTTATCGAGACCGGATTCAATCACTTGCCGAAGGCAAACTTTGGCGTGACCCCCCTGTCGTGAAAGAAGCAATCAGATCCGGTAATAAGAGTAATAGTTATAATAATAAACCTCCGCTAGGTGGTGGGGATAGGAATGGTAATTCTGGAAACAATGCCGGGTGGGATAATTGGGATAGTTATGATGATGGAGGGTTTAGTGGAAATTCGAATAATAATATTAGGAGGAATAATACGGTTGGAGATTTTAGGAGTGGTGGAAATGGGGTAGGTGCACCGTCGAGGTCGAAGTCGACCCAGAATATTTATTCCCGGGAACAATTGGAGGCATCGGCTGCAAATAAGGAGGACTTCTTTGCTCGGAAGATGGTAGATAATGAGACACGGCCTGAGGGGATCCCACCCTCCAAAGGTGGGAAGTATGTTGGCTTTGGGTCAACCCCTCCTCCGGTGCCAAGGAGCAATTCTCAGGGGGACGTTCTTTCGTCTGTTACTGAGGTGCATTCGTACATGTGCTTATGCAGATTTTTTGGCTATTTATGTGTTCAGTGTTACTAATGTGGTTCTGTGTACACAGGGATTTGGTAGGTTATCTGTGGTGGCAGCATCGGCCGCACAGTCAGCTGCAAATGTTGTACAAGCAGGGACAAAGGAGTTCACTTCTAAGGTACTTTGGCTTTTCAGGAGTGTATTATCAGTGGTGCTTGTTATATTTGTCATTGTGGTGTCTTGTAATTGTTCTGATCCTATTTCAGACAACGGGCAATGTGGCAATTGCATAATTGTTGAATCTGAGGGAGTAACATTAATAATATGTCCATGCCTGATTTGTTGTTTTCTTAATATTTAGGTTGTCAATTTTAGTTTGCATTTATAGCACGGGTCATTCTTGAGATATGGCACTTACGTGTAAAGATTTCTGCTGCCTGGAAAACCTGAATTCTCTTTCTCTTGTTTCAGAATGACTAGTATGGATCTTTTTAGAATGAAGTGTATTCAATAGTAAGATGAGAGGTTTAGTACCCTTGGTTGTTGGAATTAAAAATCGTTTTTTAACTGTCAAGCTGAGTAGGATATAATCTTGGCCTGATTTTCTTTTTCATCAATAAGTTCCTTAATCGTGGAGTTTCGTGCCAACATATACAAAGCTCACCTTGTGATTCTTGGGAATCAGTTTGCCAAAAGTAGTTCATACCATCTCAAAGGAACAGACAAATAGCTATACTAGTGACCACTAAAACCTTGGCGATTGAAGGGATGCGTGAAATTTTGGTTTCAGAAGGTGTGATTTTCTACTGGTTCTTTCATGCATTTGATGCAAATGATCTCCTTTCTCCCTTCTACACGATTCAAACATTGAGTTTTAGTGTCTGTATGATTCTGGACAGCAGCACTCATATTTGCCACGCTACTTGCCTTGAGGAGTGACATGAATATTAGGTCTATGACTATATGTCAAAGCATTTTAAATTCATCTGACTAGCCATTGGGCAAGCTTGCCGAATGTTTATCTGATGGCATGAAAATGTCGTCACAACTATCCTTTGAGAATTAGGATTGTATTCCATAATTTTTTCACATTTAATTCTGTTAAACTATGCAACGATATCTTCCAAAATATCTATTTGTCCACCTTAGCAAGCCTGCTAATATAAGTATAAATTAAATTGTTGTCATTGGGACGGAGGGCCTTTGGTATCTATCCTAGCCAAAATTTCATGCTACAGGACCCCAACCAATCTGGCCTCAGCGAACATCTGTTTCTTCGAAGGGTAAGCTTTAAAGAACAAATTGTAGCTTGTGTATGACACATGATATAAATTAGGTTGGGAGGCTGAGATATATTGAGCGAATATCATTTAGCTCAGCACTCATTATTTATGGAGTGCTCCTTAGTTTTTTGTGTTGAAAACATCTTTATTTTGTCCTCGTCCTTACAGATATACCAGACCAGGTGTTTGTGTCCCAATTTCTTAAAAACAGCATATGTGTTGATATAGCAGTAAGCCGCAAACAGTATAACTACACCCGAGAGGATCAAAACCAAGGGACAATCAACAGAACACTGTAGCCCTGGCCCGAAAGAAGAACAATTTGAAGGGGAACATGATTTTGTGATTCAAAGGATAAACATCCTTAAATAATTCAATCAGTTTCTGAAGTAGAATAAAGAATCTAAGATACAGTGGCCCTTCTGTTTAAGAATTATATGGTACATTATGACCACCATCCCCAGCCTTTGACCTTTTTCGCAATCTTCTCCCCAACTTTTTTTCTTTTATGACAAGCCGAACCTCAATCCTTTAATTAATTAGCGGGGTCCGTCCTCATGGATGGTCTTAACTTAAAGAAACAAGAAAATTTAATTTATATAAAGAAAAAGAAAATAGAAAGTGAGAAAATAAAAATAAAATCCTCGGCCCTTATTCACCAGCAATAGTGTTGCCAAGCCTAAACCCACCAGCTACAACCCATGACCCAAAACCACTGGTTACAATGGCTACAAGAAGGTAGTAGAGTTATAAACATTACTTGATCTAGCCTCGTCTCAACATTTTCATCCACTCGAAAAGCCTTCTTTGCCTTCCCATGGTGACTGTATCCTCCAATCACTAAGTTCCACACTTCAAATCACGCTTGGGCAAAAGAGAAATATGAATTCAGCACCTCATTTTTCTCTCAATAGTTCCGTCCTTGTAGGTTCATATTTTTGACCCATTTCATTTCCTTTTGAATTGTATTTTTCCTGTGATGCAATTTGGATTAATTTCTTAGCATTACAGTTGATTTGAAAGAGCTTGGCGAAGATTTCATTTCAAATCCTCTTTTGTTCACCAAAAATCTCATTTCTCTTGTGCTAGCGGTTGTGTGGTATGGGGTTGCGCTGGTGGGTGGTGGTGGGGTGTGATGTTGGAAATGGAGCTCCTGATTTATTTTCTTCTTTATATAAATTATTTTTTCTTGTTTATCTAAGTTTATGGGCAATTATGTCATTTCAAGGCAATGTAATGTACTTTATAGATGGAAAATGTCCTTAAAGACAAATAGTGCTATTTAATTGAAATTTCGGTTTCTCACAAAATTGGGGATTATAACAAGGAACAAACTGCCAACCTTTATGTGATTTATGCTTGACAGTGCTACTTGAGACTAGAAATGAGAGGACTAACATCAATCATAACATATTGGATAAAAACAAGCACGAGAACACAATAGGTAAATTAATGGACATGCATAACTAATGGCTAATGGGTATACAAGATTGAAGTCGCAAATTGGAGTTCTAATGCTTTTTGAATTATATCAAACAATGTGTTACTAAAACTTTTAGGATAATGTCCTCCATAGTCATTACACCCGACCCGGACAAGGTACTGGGTTTCGAGTTACTGGTTGAACCAGTGGGTCAATAGTTGAATCGGTGGGTCATTGCATAAAAATCTATAAAAAAAAATTAAAAGTAAAATAAAAAAATTAGGCAAAATTATATTTTTTTGAAGTTATTTTTCACTAATTATTTAGATAAAGTAAAGGGTTGGACCAAAGTTTTTTATAAAAACATTTCTAGAAAATCTATAAAATATATATGATTCATTGCATACGTTATTGCACATAAAAATTATTAAAGTACTCTACTACTCCAATAGTGAGGAATGTTCAATTCCATGGACTGCCAAAATTTTAGAGGCAATTTTGAAAACTGGTAAACCGGACCGGTGGTTTTATATTAAAACCGGCAGTTTTCTCAGCAAAGCCGATTTTTGACCAAGTCATGTGCGTTCTTATTAAATTAATCTACCCGGCCCGGACAAGAGCCCAGGTCAACGGTTTTCCGGCCCGACTGGCCTATTCAGGCCAGGTTTTATAACTATGGTGTCCTCAACTCATAGTTCAATGCATTTCTTAAGATTTTTGAATTCTGATGGATTTGAATAGAATTCTACAAAATTAATAAGATTTTAACTTAATTCTATTTTATAGATTTTAATGGATTTGTTGGATTTTAGTAGATTGCTTAATATCATGATATAATGTTATAACTTCTCAATGGAATACTAAAAAAACGAAAATCAACTTTATAATTAGAAATAAAATTCATAACTTTATCATTTATTACAGAAAATTCATAATTCTGTCACCTAAAAGAATTAATTTCATCAATCCACTAAATCAAGCTTATAAATATAAAAAATTAGTGGAATTTGAAAATTAAATCATTTTCATTAAATTCTCGAGAATTACGTAAAAATTTGCATTGAATATTTTATGATTAAAGAATAGTTTCAAAAGCAAAATGGACTCAAATTTAATTCCAATTCCTAGTAGGAACAAGAACTCAATTACTTGTTTCCTTTTCTCTCTCACTTTGAATTTCTTAATGAGGATTAAAAATAAGATATTTTTCCTATTTAGTCTAGAGCTATGATGTTCAGGCTCGGGTACAGGTGCTATTTAAGTGTCAGATTTTTTATTTTTTAAAATGTACTATACAAAGACATGACTAAAAAGAAACCAAATTTCGTTGATATGGCTTTTTTGTTAACATTATTAACCTATTAATAGGAAGAAAAATATTGGTAGCAATGGAAACAATAATTCATTGATTAAAATCATAAAAACTGTGTAATAGTTGAAAGACATAAGCCCTGTGTAAGTTGCCGTGTCCAGTTGATGTACCCGTGTCGTGTTGTTCATATGTTCAGATCATTTCTAAGAGTCAGAGCATCACATCTCAAGAGTTATATAAGTAAGGACCAAAATGCCACTTTCATGTGATTTATGCTTGACGGTGCTACTTGAGACTAGAAAAATCAAAAGACTAACATTCAATCACATTAAACTGGATTAAAAAAAAAAAAGCACAACTGCACAATAGGTTAGTTCATGGACCTGTATAATTAATGGTTAATGAGTATGGGCCCAATTGAAGTTGTAATGCTTTGTGAATTATATCAAACTGTTTTTGTTACCGAAACTTTCAGATGTGTCCCCTCAACTCAGAGTTTAATCCATTTCTTAAGATTTTTGGATTCTCATGGAATTGAATAGAATTCTACTGACTTACTAAAATTTTAACATAATCCTATTTTTAGATTTTTAATGGATTTGTTGGATTTCAATTAATTGCTTAACACTGCAATAAAACTGATAACGCCTTAATAGAATACCCAAAGAATAAAAATTCTAACTTCGTAATTAGAAAATCAAATTCATAACCTTATTTTTATTACATAAAATTCAAAATTTTGTCATTTAAAAGAATTAATTTCATTAGTTTACAAAATCAAGCAAATAACTACCAAACAGTTAAAAATTAGTTGAATTTGAAAATTAAATTATTTTCATTATACTGTCCAGAATTACGTACAAATGTTGCACTGAATATTTTGTATTAGAGAATAAGTTCCAAAAGCAGAATGAACTGATTCATTTTTTGTTATTAGCTGTCTAGAATAAAAATTCGATTCCAAATTCTAGTAGGAACATGAACTTGATTCCTCGTTTCTTTTTCTCTCCCACTTTGAATTTCTGAATGAGAATTTCCCAATTCCTCGTGGCATTTGAAGACACTGCGTCAGAGGTTCTCTCTTAAAGATTTGTCGCCGGCTGCCTTATATTATTCTAATTTTTTTGCTATTGATGATTTTCGAAGGCAAAAGATTCAACTTTTTAGCATTATGTGGATAAACAAGGCATAATACATTTCAAATCAAGTTTTTCTTTTTGCCAAAATATTTGAATGTACAGTGTGATGATACGTATGTTTATCTTCCTTTTTACAGGTAAGAGAGGGAGGGTATGATCACAAGGTGAATGAGACTGTCAGTGTTGTGACTACAAAGACATCAGAAATCGGACAAAAGACATGGGGAATCATGAAAGGGGTAATGGCTCTAGCGTCACAAAAGGTTGAGGAATACACTAAAGATGATTCTGGCTTGAAGAATGATGGCTGGCAACGGAAAGAGAGTGAAAGAAATGGTTACTTTCAGGAGTTTGGACAGGAGTCTAAAGGATGGAATCATTCTCCGGAGGTGCAACGCTCATCTGGTCGACAGTTCAACTCTGTCAGCTCTGGCTCCTGGGACGATTGGGATAGTAAAGACAACAGGAAAGAAGAATCATCTAAGGGAACAACATCCTTTAATGGAGATAGCTGGGCAGGCTGGGATGATGCAAAAGATGATGAGTTTGATAATTTCTATCAAGGTGCATCTAATCACAAGGCTGTGGGTTATAATGGAAAATCAGATGGCAAGTGGTCGGAGGGAGGTTTTCTTTAAGGTTAGCATATCTCATTCATAATTCTTTTTCAAAAAAGCTCCCTTCCAAATTTAGTTTCGCCTTTTGAACTTGTTGGAAAGCTTGTGTGTTCAATATAAATGCAAAATTGCCTCTGTATGTGTGTAATGCTTGTTTGTATTGCCAGGACAATTCTTTTGTTGATTCCAAAATATAAGACAGCATTCTGATTTATAATGAAATTAGTTGCATTTTTATGTTTATTTAGTATGTATACTTTGATCGTAATTCAAGCTGCTCAGGTACTCTGCTTGTGTTTAATTTGTCATGACTTGGAAATATTTCTGCTGATAGTCATTTCATGGTTTGTACATGAATGTGTTGCTTGGAATTAATGGATCAAATCGATGGTCCATGTTCTCCAGTTTTGTAAGGCTTTGAGGAAGAGGCTGATTTGAAGTCGTCAGCGTATTCAATAATTGGATCTTTATTGCTTGTGACGATAGTTTAAATTTCCTATTTTTTGTGTTGAAAATCCATAAACTTGAAATCTTTACAAGAAATTTCAGATGGGTGATTTCAAGGGAGAAACCATGTAATAATGGGATAGCTAGAAGTTCCAAATTCTATTTCTGGTAATTCCCGGATAAAGGGAACACTGATCTGGAGCCAGTAATTTCATTCGATGTTGAACGGCAAAGGTTACTTACTGTTTGAAAGGGGGGAATTCAGCATTATTTATTCTACCTCTGGAGCTGAGGGTTAGCCTAAGGCTGCAATTTCCAAGAATTATAACATGGAAAGTGAATCTATGCATCACAAATTTATAATAAATTTTTCAGCTGAATTGTCTTTGTAGTCCACTGTTCTTATGTTTGGAGTCTTGTCTTCAACAGTCAACTCTTCATTGACTTACCCGGCTTTGTGCTATTGCTAATGCATCTTTGACCATATTGCATGTCTACTTGTCGGTATACTGTGCAGTACCATAGAACCACTTGTATATGGTAACATTGTATCCATATGTGCGGATCAGGAAATTAGGAAGCATATGGAACTCTTCATGTTGCATTCTAGGGAAAATAATTTGAGAATTTATTTGAATTGCTTGATTGATTTAAATTCCTTTAAGCTATCTACACCATGGGTAGTATTGATTGTTTTTGTTGAAGTTTTTATTAAATGCTTGACTTAAAAAAGGCAATACGCAGAGGCGAATCTAGGATTTAGAGTGAGTACGGGTAGCCGGTTGATCATTGGTCACAATAAAATATTTAAAATTAAATATAACAATTTATATTATTTTTGCTAAAAATGAACATATATTTTCTGCTACACATATCTACTAAATAGGGCGAGTGACATATTAGCCAAGAGCTCTATACTTCAAATTACGGTTAGGGGTTTGAATCATTCTAATTGCATTAAGCCACTAAACTTGAACATATATTATTTTGTTAGATTTAGTGTCACAATTCGATGAATGCAACGATGGTCAAGGCTAATTTCATAAAGGGGTCACGGGTTCGAATCTCCACTCTTGCATTAGTTTTAGTAAAAATTGTTGAATTCGAAAAATAGCACTATAAATTGCTTTGAAGGAGATTTGAATTCAGGACGTCCAATTTGGCTGTGAAAGCTTTAACCGACTAAGCCATAAGAAAAGTTTGTGAAAGCAACGAATTATCAAATATATAATATAATACTTTTATTTATCATCAACGAAAAAAATTATTTTCGACGGATCCAACACGCATGGTTGTGGGGTTCACCAGGTGCTGGATCCGTCCCTAGCAATATTGCAACATTTCTTTGGGGGAAATTGCAGCGATATAGGTGGGAATGCAGACAAGGAGCAACGATGGGAAATAGGTGGAGATGGAGTTTAAAGCAATGCTTTAGTTATTTTTTGTATATGTGGTTTGAAATGTGTCTATTTGTTTTATTTCCTCAAATGATTTGAATGGGCATATGATTTGTGTGCCTTTTTTAGCAGCAACATGAACAACGATCATCATTCACGGTAGATTAATAATAAAACAGGTAAATTATGTTTTGGCTTTCCAATTTTTCGATTCCCAACCTTTTAAATGTGAGGCTTTGGGTCTCTAATATATTTAAATTGGTGAATTTAGATCCCAAAGTGATCAAAAAATCACCAATGGCATTAAAATGTTACGTGATTTACAATTAAAGGGCATAATTGTTTAAGGCACTGTTTGATTCAACAAAATTTTCCTTAGAAAATGAAATTTGAATTCCAACTTTCACAAAAAGAGTGTTTGATAACTTATATTTACCATGAAATCGAATTTCTTATATTTCTTGGAAATTGCACATTTCCTTGTTTTCAAGGAATTCTCACCAATATGGCAAGAATTCAAATTCTAATATACCGTAACATTTTATTTTTTCGTTTTTTTATATATATATATTTTTTGGTAATGAAAACCAATTTTAAGGATTATTGTAAAAAAATATTTCCCTTTAATTGACAATTTTCATGTAAAATAAAATCAAATGAACATCAAAAGATAGATAATTTTCTTGAATTTTTGTTTCGTTTTGATTTTTTTTTTTTTTTGGCAATGGAAACAAATTTCATTCCTAATACCAGTAAAATCTATCTCTTTAATTGACAATTTTCATGTAAAATAAAATCAAGCGAACACCAAAAATTACTTTCATTTTAACATTTTTCACGAAAAAAATTATACAAATCAAACATAATAATTTACAATTTCCAAAAAAATAATTTCTAAACAATTCAATTCACTCCAATTCATTTTCAATTTAATTCCATCTTTGTGATCAAACGAATCTAATATTTATCTTCAATTCAACTGGATGCATACAATTTGAACGTCCAAATTGACAATTTTCGTCATGTCAGAATTCAAATTCACATATTCTCATGAGTTGAGGAGCCTGACGTTAAGGGTAGGAGTCCAGTCCTAATTTACATTTATGAGAGAAGTTTGGGCAAAATTGTCAAGAAACGAGAATTAATCAAAGATGAATAACGACAAACAATTGCATTGCATCAGCTACACAGAATAGGGTGCGCAAGGAAGATAACCCCAATAAAATCAGGGAGTCGATAATTGAGTTCATTAGACATTGAACTGGGCAATACTGCAAGTCCAAAGCAGCAAAGATCTAAACAAATGCTAATCCTAATGAGAAGCTCAATCCAAGATTATTAATCAACTTCAAATTCTCCATAATAGTTATTGGACATGGAACCAAAGAAACTAATTATATTAAACAAAATAGAAATTTCAACTTTAAAATTTTGAAGATCCAAGATGAAGCTCACTACATTCAGTTACCCCAGAAGGAACACCCATACTCCAATTTAACCAACATTTACATGAAACCCTAATTTCCCAAAAGTAATCTAAGAAACCGAACGCATGTCAACGGCTTAACCCCCAAAGCCGTACAATGTTCGGCCTTGCCTCTTCAGCGCATAGACAACGTCCATTGCAGTGACAGTTTTCCGGCGAGCGTGCTCTGTGTAGGTGACAGCATCGCGAATGACATTCTCCAGAAAGATCTTGAGGACACCACGCGTCTCTTCGTAGATGAGCCCGCTAATGCGTTTAACTCCACCTCTCCGAGCCAGACGCCGGATCGCAGGCTTGGTGATGCCCTGAATGTTATCACGAAGCACCTTACGGTGGCGTTTTGCTCCGCCCTTTCCCAAACCCTTGCCTCCCTTTCCTCTTCCAGACATTTTTACTCTCGAGCACAACAAATTTGAATTGAATCGTGATGTGAGAGAAATGAAACGTGGATCGGGGTTTATAAAGAGAATCCAAGTGTGGGAATTGAGTTAGAGCCGTTGGATTTCATGTTTAATCGACGGTAAATATTGACAATCCATGCCTAGAAAATCAACTACTTTCAGACGCTAGTAACGGATCTACGGGGAATAAGAGATTCGTATCAGTTGATCTCGACCGTCCTTTTCAATCAGATCAACGGCTCATGCAGTCATGATCCTCTTCAACCAAACTCTCCAATCAGCCTCCACGCCCAAATGTACCTGTTACAATAGGGCGCCTGTCTAGACAACTTGACGATTATAATTTTAAATGGTTATGAAAGCGAAAATTTGAATGGAAAAAAGATATTTTCTATAAAAATATTGACAATTAAATGCATTCTTATTGATAATAAAGATCAATTATGCTTAATCTACATCTTATTTGATAGCTTCTTCATCCAAAAAAGTTTAGACAACACACTTTTTTGTTAACAGGGTGATAAATGTTAACAGGGTGATAAAAAGTGATGTACCAATAGCAAAATTCAATAAAATTTCATGAAATTAAAAATAAAAAGTTGAAGTAGATGTTGTCAAGAAAAAAATTAAAGTTTATATAGCAAGGCCTTGTATAGTGGAGGATAAAAATTAATTTTTCAGAGGTTTTGATAAAATTGATGAAATGTGTGGTTGAAAATTTTTAGATCTCATGAAATACTTTATTAAAATTGTTATTGAATTTGACCAAGATTAAAATTTAAGTTTTGATCTCTGTTAAATAAGTTAAGATTAATCGTGCAACTTTTTATTAGTGGTCACAAACCCATGAAATACCCTATTGAATGAGATAATTACCTTCAGATCGATGTGATTAACAAGCAGTTCACGACACCTTCCAGTTGCATAATTCATTTGATCCATACGAAGTATGCATTATGCATTCTCAATCTACTTACTCTAATTCTAGTGAGATTAAGATATGTACAAGATATCTTGAAGTTAATCATTAATATAGGTGCAAACCACACTTTGAAGAGTTGCGCACTGGGCCTACAAAACCTTTGCCATCAATTCAACAAGTTCCCAAATTAGAGTTCAAGCAATTACCATCGCATCTCCTTTATTCTTACTTGGGTAAATCTTCTACATTATCGGTCATTATTGCAAACTCTATCAGTGAGCTTGAGGAAGAGAGATTGATAAGGGTACTCAAAATAAAAATAAGATAGCTATTAAGTGGTCTAGCGCTGACATTAGAGGGATTAATCCTATACTTTGCGTGCATAAAATTCTCATGGAGTATAATTTTCGACCAAGCATAGACCAATAGATAATAGAAATATACCATTATAATTTACGTGATCTTTAAATATTCGTAAATCTTTAATGCATTTTTATATGTTCACATTAGTGTCAAACAAGGATCAAGGCGGAGCTGCACAAGACCCTTATGGAGCCAGAACAAAGAGATTAACGACCAAGGAGCTCGGCTCACCCTAGAGATGAGCGGCTCATTGGCATTGTTCCTTTTAGTTGACCAATGATCACAATTTCAATTTTTTAAAAATCTCTATAAATACATCATATTCCCAATTCATTTTTTTTTTCTCACACCACAGCTCTCTACTCTTCTACATTTTAATTTTTTCATACAATTAGTATAATTTAATATTTATATAACTATATCATCATTTCATCCATATTTTATTTCAGCCATTTTTTTCCTTTTATTATGCAAAATCTACATACTTCATCTATAATTCTATATTATACGGCTAAGTTCTACCAATTTCTTATTCTGCCAATGGATCGCAATAATTATTTGGATGATATGTTTTAGTGTCGACTCCAATACACCATTGACACCACAAGGTATAAATCTTGCTTTGTCTCCTATTTCGATAATGATTTTAGTAGTCTTAATGATAGCTCAATTCTTGCTAATTTGGGAGAGGATATGTGCATGGGATCCAATTTATTTGGATACATCGAGGAAGAAGAAAAACTACACATAACAGATGTAACCTGTAAACGAAGTGTAAAGAGGAGGTTCCAACTATATTAGATCCAATCAACAAAAATGTACAGAATGAAAAGAATTGAAATACAAGAAAACTGAGATCTAATTAAAAATGCTCTAAGGCAGTATCCATTTAAAGATCTCTCGAAATATATGTGCGGTCTTCTTCAGCAAGTTCACTGCGAGTGTAGATCACACACCAAGGCTTAAGGATTAGGATGTTTTTCGCACTCAGACCAGAATCACTCAAAATCATAGAAGATTCGATCTTCTCACTTCAGAATGGTTCACACAAGACCACATTACACTTCTCAGAAAGAATCACTCAAGATTACAAAACGGGATATGAGAAAGTATTGAAAAATCAAATAAGAACTTTGATTTTCAGAAAGAAGAAGAAGATGAACTCAAATGGCCAGAGAGCAGATGAAGAGTCTAGAAAGCCAAGGAGAAGAAAATCACACGTCTCAAACCCTAGGACTCTCTTTTATATGAGTCACCAAATGGTCAGCCATCCAATGGACATGGGGTTGACACATGGCATCATCATCAGCGTCTATTAGAAGAAACACGGCTTTGTAAATTGAAAGTGCGTTTTTAAGAGACCAGCTAACACCTTTAAAAAACAACAAATAAAAGTCAGTTGGTCAACTCACACCATTTCATCATTGTGCTACAACCGAAACGAAGAACAAAATAAATTGCGAAGTGTTGAGAATGCTTCAAACTGATGGTCACATGTCAGGTTGATGGAGAGCTAGATTACAAATTAGTATACAAGTATTGCAAAGTAAGATTAGCATGTCAAAAGGATATTGAAACTCTCTAAAGACCCGGGTACAAATGTTAGCTGATTTTACCCACCTCTAGCGCTAATGAAACATCAGCATGTAAACGTCAATTAGCATTATTGATCAGGGTTAATACTAGTAAACTGAATACATGTACTTCTTCCTGCAATCGAAGTATATCAATTGTAGGTGTAGGTGGAATGCCAGTAGAGTTAGCTAGATATTTTACACACGACATGCTTACAATAGTAGACCCAACTGACACATTAGATTTAGAGTTACTCCAATTTTGGAGAACTAAGTAGCATCAATATTTAATTAATTCTATCACAGCACGTGATCGACTTACAACTTCAATTAGTATTGTAGCATCGAAAAGTCAGGTTTTAGTGCAAGTAACAATGTTTTGTCCAAATTCAGATTAAGACCAAAAGAAGATACTAGAGAGCTTAATATGTATATAGGATTGGAAAAATGTTGACTACCAAGTCCAAAATGAATATGATCAAATACTATATTGATCACTTATCAGTTCGTCATAATTTATCATTTTTAAATATTATTCACTTAAAAAAAAATGTACACGTAAGAAGTCATGCGTGTATAATTTTAACTCACTCTATACTAAAACTAGTCAATCCAAGCCTAGAAGAAGGATAAGGATTTTTAAAAAATATTAAAAAATAAAAATAGGTAGCTCGTGGACTCATTTTGACTCGACATACGAGCTCACGCACTTAGGGCCAAGCCGAGCTTATTTTTTGGGCATGAGCCGAGTTTGCCAGTACGATAAATATAATTGATTTAAAGCTTCAACTCAAAGTGGGGGTTTGGTTTGAGATAAAGTACTTTGGTGAAGCAAAGAAGATATTGGGTACAGAAACAAAGAAAGTGGTGTCTTAACTCCAAGGCAGTAGGAATGTGCGAAGAGGATCTTAGAAAAACATCTCACGATGGACTCAAGTTGTAATTGTACCATTTACGCAACATTATAATGAATACCAGAAAGAATGGAGTCAAGCTTTCGTATTTGGACTTATATCTTTAGCTGTTTTTGTATTGTTTGACAAATCAACTCTTGTGGAGTAATTAGTTATATTTCTAAGTCCATTTGATTAAGCTTACTTGTAAGAAGGTATATAATTTTTCATTAGTCAATTTTCTATTTATTTATTTTTTATTTCTGGTAACGTATAAAAATATATATCATGTTTCTCAATCTTCATAACAACTTGTGGCTGTAGTTTAGTGGTAAGAATTCCACGTTGTGGCCGTGGAGACCTGGGCTCGAATCCCAGCAGCCACAAATGACATTATTTTTCCTTTTTCCCTCAACCGGCACCTATCCCTAAACGATGACGTATTTGCAAGTCCCTTCGTTGCATCCAGCATTGACAAATCAAAACATCACAGATTGTGTATTACACAAAGATCTATTATCGAATCGCTGCCGGCTGAGTTTCATCCCCAATTACCACCGTAAGTGCTCAAACTCACATCCAGATTCTTTCTCGTTTTTCGATTCACGACTTAATTTTTGTGATTCTCGTTCATTTCTTATTTGACGGTTGTTAGACGTTTATTTATTTTAGTTAATTGATCTGTATATTGAATGCGAGTTTAAATTGTTAATCCTCTGAATATGGGTAATTCAATTAGCGATCTGACTGTACTCGTAGTTTTCTTATTTATTTATTTTTATTGCTGTAAATTAAGTGATCTGATTAGGTAGCATCTTTTCGATTACCATTAAACTTGCTCTTTGCCAAGTGAATTACTCGCAAATTTGGATGTGTTAAGCTACTTTTTATACCCATTTTTTAAACTTCCTCTTTTCATTGTTTTTGAAGATCGACTAGAATTCCCAAAACTTTCTATGAATAGGTTTTGGATTTTGACTACAAGAAAATGATGGAGGAAACTAGTGTATTTTGTTGGGAAGATGTCTATTGATGAGATAACTTGTGCTGGTAGCTTCCTCGTTGAAACAACTGCATAAGATGCTGAAAACAAATTTGGGTAAATGACCTTGGTTCTATTTTAATCTGGTCGGGGATATTCTGGGATAGATCAAATGTGATCACACGAAGATTTTATCACATTTGCATTAGAAATAACAAAAGTTGCCTTCTATTGAAAGTAAAGTTTTAGGAGGTCCATTGCATTATGGTGGAGTTCACAAATTAACATGGTTCGACTTGTGATGTCTAGATATTCTGTCTGTCGTGAAAATTCACCCAAGGACTTGGATTTCGTGTGCAAATCGGGCTCAGTAACACCAACCCAGTTGATGGCTCAACCCACAACAATCTCAGTACGGTTGCCCTGTTAATTTAACCCACAAAGGATCAAGAATAATGGTGGCTGCAATTACCACAAATACTAATCCTTCTGTTGGCATCTTCTTCTCTTTTATGCGCCAATTGCATGTGCTTGTACTCAGTAATTGTTTCTTCTACCCAATTTTCTTTCTTTCTTAAGAAGAAAAGTCTTACCATTTTCCTTCCTCTCTTCCCAAAATCCCTCATTCTTTCTTCCCTTAATAAGGAATTCAAGGCCTATTTATTGGACTTTGTATTTGCTTTGTATGCTTTTTTGCCTGTCCAGTTCTTTGTGATTTCTTCAGCTGCATCTCAAGAACTGCAGGGAACACGAGAGGGCAAGTCGCAAGTTTCAAAGTTAGATGTGGTCTCAGTAAGGCACCTGCTGCCTCTGGGATTGGCTCTGATTCATGTTATAAAATATTAAAAAGTGGCCATTCCACATTGTGGGTTGTTTGAGGATGGGGTGTGGGTTCAACTAGTAAATTTTGGTGTGGTCAGCAAAATGTCATTGTCTTTTGTGATGTTGTCCTATTTGTTAATTAAGCCTTTAAAGGAATCAAAGAAAATGAGAATTTTTTTGAAATATTGCTCACGAATACAAGGTTGAGATGGTGGTAAATGATGGTTTTCGAGTTTAAGTGGGAGATCTTGATTGTCATAACCTGGGTCTTTCTTCATTAAAACTTTACTTCGTGCAATAATTCATATATGGTTTACTCGGTGTGCGCCTGGTACATTGCTATGTGCTACTTCTTTCATTCTCAATTTCTGATTAGCAATTATATATCATTGACATTGTTTTTGCATTTATTGTAACAGATGATTGACGATCAGGACCTGGGCTTCTTTGCCAACTTTCTTGGCATCTTTATATTTGCACTTGTGATTGCTTATCATTATGTAATGGCTGACCCAAAATATGATGGCAACTAAGGAGTTGCTTTGATATCAACCTACAGTATGAGTGTTTTTTCAGTTTAGTTTTGTTGACACAGTTTTCAGGAATGATTACTTTTCTGTGGCAAGAGCTTCCCTGAGACAAATTTATCCTTGCTGCTAATTCATGGATAAACTTGGAAAACAGTAGCAGTAATCTGAAACTTATTTTGCCTTTCTACACACACACACACACACACACACACACACACACATATATATATATTAGGCATCTTTATACCTTCTTTTTTGAAAAATTCCATCTTCTAAGCATGATTTTGCTGTGTTTATGCATGTCAGTGTAGTTTTTGTACAATGATAGGTGGGACGGAATAGGTAGTTTGCCTGTTGGATTTCATGTCACGGAGAAAGTGGTAGAAACCTTACTGCCAGATTGAAGATTTCGTGAACAGAAATTACTAATTAGGAATCTATTATGTAACAGAGAGTCACACTTTTTCTGTACAATTTTGATACGAGAGGATACTTGGGAAAAAAAGGGGTTTTAGGCGTATTTAGTTAGTTTTGAACTCTTGCGGTTCATCAACTAGTTTATTTAACTACACGTTTCTTCCATGTGAGGACCGTAGGAACTAGTAAAAGAGAAACAAAAGGATGGTGATTTTTATCTCCATATGAGAAATCAAAATGAGTTAGGATGTATCTCAATCCTTGCCCCGCGCAAGCATTCCGATTAGAGGTTGAGCCAAAAATGAAAAATAAAAAAATTAGGAACTCTACTAGGCTGATACATAAAAATGGAAATTTCAAAGGGGAAAAAAATTACATTAAAAGTTAAATGGATTCGAGGTAAAGCTGGAGCCCAGTACTACGCCCCTGATCCCAATCCTCAGAAATCCTCAAAATAGACCAAGTTATAGCACCGATCACATATGTTACATTCCATTTCGTATTAGTCAAAGGTCAATACTATTTATTCAAAGTCAATGTTTGACCTGTCAAAGTCAAAGCCAAATAAGGACTTAAATGAAGTAAATCATTTTAGTGGGACTTGAATTGACCAAATTATTTTTGGGAGTTTATTTTACAAATTGACAACGTTAGAAGGTTTAGAATGGATAAAATTTAAATTTGGGGAAATACTTATTAATTATTAAAAGTTAAATGACTTAATAAGATATCATATGAAACTTGGAGGACTTGATAGCAAAAGGATTTAGCGGTGGATTACAAGTGACATTTTGCATGCCATTTCTTCATTATTAAAAAAAAATTTGAACCCTAACCCTGAGAGTCCCCACCGTCCCACCCTTGAGCATCGTAAGGAAGGTAAATCGCAAGATGTGTCCTAGCAGGTCAGGGAACAAGAATTTGCCTGTTCACTGGTGCCCACAAAGAGTCAATTTTCATATCTTATGAATCAAATCCTCACGGCTATCAGCAAGGTTGAGACTACCTTACTCATGTCCTTTGCACCACTGGAACATGTCCCGAGGGCGCCATTTCTTCATTATTCATATTGTTGGAAAAATGGTTATGAAATGGGTCAACTTTGAGCCTAAATTTTAGTGGGACCCACATCTTAATTAATACGGAACCTAGCATATCCACGCTCTATTCCGCAAGGTGATGAACGTGGCATATTTATTTATGGAAAACCATTTAGAATTAAATGAAATAATTAATGTCAAAGTAACACACTTGAAACTATGAATTAGTGAAGAATTTGATTTGTCCAAACACTTATCCCATGTAGAAAAGTTATGAAATTTTGGTGTGGTTTATATGGTGCAAGTTTGGGAATTGGGTTTGGGCCCCGAGGGGTATCAATAGTTTTTGGAAGGGGGGAGACCTATATCCTATCGGATTTGGTCATAAGCCCACACACGCGCGCTGCCATCTTCGCCGTCTGACCGGCCCGCTCGGCTCGGCACGGCACGAGCTCGTGCCCGTGCCCGTGCCCGTGTCCGAGTTCGAGTCTGGTGCGGGCGCGTCGTTTCACTATATTAATTTTTTGAATAAAATTTATTTGAATTTTTGGACCAAATTGTATATAATCAAATTCTTGGGTACTTAATAAAATTTATTTTTTCATTGGCCTTTTTCGGGTA